AAAAAAAAAAAAAAAAATAGTGATTAATGCTATAAAGAAAAAAGGCAGGCCAGGTGTGGTGGCTCATGCCTATAATCCCAGCACTTTGGGAGGCCTTGACAGGTGGATTGCTTGATCTCATGAGTTTGAAACCATCTTGGACTGTACCCATGCTTCTACCCTGTTCTGTGATACCAGGGGAGCAAACCATAGTTCCCTGTTCTCAGTTATTGTTAGGTTCCTCCAATGAGAGTGGATACAAGAAGCCTGGGAGGCAGGAGGAGAGGGAACCTGTTCCTGCCTGTTTGTTATTCCTAGCCTGGTCCCCTCAGTAATCACACTTTGCCTCTGGCAATGGCATTTGGTTCAGTCTTCAGGTTGTTTGTACATCCCAGAAACAGCCCCCTTGTGCTTCCAGGGAGGCACCAACAGCAGACCCTTCCTCGAGCTTTGAGTCCCAACTATGCAGGGCTCTGGGTGGCCCAGCACCAATTTGGTCGTGCCTCCCTCTTTCTTCCTTACCTCCCTTCCCATCTTCCCTCCCCTTCTTCCCTTCCCTCCTTCCCTTCACCCTGCCCTACCCTCTTTCTTTCTTTCTTTCGACACAGTCTCACTCTGTCAACCAGGCAGCTGGAGTGCAGTGGTGCAATCTCAGCTTACTGCAACCTCTGCCTTCTGGGTGCAAGCGATTCTCCTGCCTCAGCCTCCTACATAGCTGGGATTACAGGCATGCACCACCACACCCGGCTAATTTTTTGTATTTTTAGTAGAGAGAGGGTTTCGCCATGCTGGCCAGGCTGGTCTCAAACTCCTAACCTCAAGTTATCTGGCTGCCTTGGCCTCTGAAAGTGGTGGGATTACAGGCGTGAGCCACCTTGCGTGGTCATGTGCCTCTTTCTCAGAGGGTTGAGAATGAGTTCTCTGGGGCTCTTCCTCCGATTTTGCTAGCTCTACTAACCCCAATTTGTTTTCTTTGATTTCCAGCTTTGGAGGTGGTAGCTGCTTCCTGTAATTGTTATTTACGTTATCTCTGTGTTCCCTTTTTGCCTTTTCAGTCCTCTGTCACCTGTTTAATGAATTTCCTAAATTCTGTTTTCCTAACTGGACACTGACAGAAAGGCCCTAGTAAGACTTAGATTTTTATTCCAGTCCAATGGGAAGCCACTAAATGGTTTTAAGCAAACGGTAGATTGATAGATTAGTAAATCTGTATAGTAATTTATTGCAAAGAGTACATAAATTATAAAAACTGACACTGGGCACTGTGCCTCATGCCTGTAACCCCGGCACTTTGGGATGCCCATGCAGGCAGATCACTTGAGGTGCAAGCAAAACAAAAAATTAGCAGAGTGGGGTGGCATACACCTGTGATTCCAGCTACTTGGGATGCAGAGGCAGG